GATGAGCCTGAGAAAGAGAAAACCACCCATTAACAACCTCATGCTTTAACCTGGACTCACCAGGTAAACAATAGCAAAATCAAGTAATGTACATGGAGCTCCAAACCAAGACTTACTTTGCTGCTTTTATAGTATGGAAAAAAGAGGGAGGCAGGGATGAATGCAAATATTTGTTTAAAATGCAGGTAATCTGTGTTGCTGAGAGCAGGTATGCATTCTACAAAGGCAAAGCATGTGATGAATTGCAAATATAGTGCCTATAAGGCAGTGGTCCCCATCCTTGGGCCTCCAGATGTTCTTGGACTTCATCTCCCAGAACTCCTGGCCAGCAGAGATGGTGGTGAAGGCTTCTGGGAGTTGAAGTCCAAGAACATCTGGAGGCCCAAGTTTGGGGACCACTGCTATAAGGTACATAAAACCTGAGATATTGGTCTGATGTAGGCCTTATTTCATTGGTGGTGAACCTCTGTTGCTCCAGATTTCATGGGGCTCGAATTCTCATCAGCACCAACTGTGTAGCCAGGTATCAGGGTTAATAGAATCTGGAGTCCAGTAACACCTACAGAGTTTTTCTACAGGTTCCTAATCCGACTCTGTAAAGACTTTCAGTGACTCACCTTTCTCACCTCTTCAGCACTGGCCTGAAAGCCGTCCTCAGCTTCTCTTTATGCTGACCGAGACAAACTTCACTCAGATGATCTTGAGCAGCTCTCATACCTCTCCCAAACCCTGTTGAGACAAAACAGGAACATCAAATGCTTCAGTGGATGTATGGTCAACTCCTTATCATCACCTTTCCAGCCTTCCTACTTTTAACAGAAAAGACTCAATTATCAATATCCAGTTGAATGCAAAGGCTTCCTTCCATCTACACTAGATGTTCTTCCACAAATGGAAACATCTTCAGAACTGTGGAGGCAGCCAGTAATAGAAGGCAAGAGGTAGTTTTTACCAATCTTCTCCCAATACGGCAACTTCTATTTTGTCCAACCTAGTGTTCCTCAAACTTTGATCCACCAGCAGACTTTTAATGAATTCCTAGAAAACCTCCTCTACTTATAACTTCTGGAAGCTAAGGTCCGAAAAAGATAAAGGGTAAAAAAATTAAGAACTATTTCGAATAACTCTCCATTTGGCATGGAGAACACATGGACCCATGCAAATCTGCTCTCCCTTTTTGCTTGAATATGTTGGGGGCGTCCTATCTCCTGAAACCTTTGAAGGCAAATCATTACATTTCCCTGGACAAAGAACTGTCACTTTTAGCATCCTGACATTTCAAATCATGGGGCTGCAGAATAATTACTAGCATGTCATAAGAAGCAAATACAGTACGCTGGAGCAAAGGATCTCAGAAGCCCATGCACAACAGATGCCCCATTGTATCTCTGGATGATTCTAGCTGTGCTTCCTTCTATCAATGATAAGAACATTATGTACCTTCATGAAATACTGCTCCAAGTTTGCTTCGTATTTGTTAATTTTTAATTTTTACCAAAAAGAAAATGAAAACCAGAAAAAGAAGAAACATCTAATAAACAGATATCGAAATACTCAATGCTCCCCTTCACCAGGGCCATTTGGAAGTATCAATCTATACTTTTACCATTGTGAAGCTCTATCTCCCTTCTAGAATTGTGTTGACTCCTGAAATGGGTTTTTGCCCCTTCTCTTTTGTTAATACAAAATCAATAATTCCCCCCATATATCTATAGATTCATCTCTACCTGCTATCCTCTCTTAAATTTTATATTGCACATAAGCTTATCATTGATAGCTATAGCCACCCGTATATCTATAGATTAATCTCTACCTGCTATCCTCCCTTAAATTTTATATTGCACATCATTGATAGCTATATCCAAAACTTCCCTATACCAATCAATTAACTGGAAATTATAACCTGTTTTCCAATGCCTAGCAATGATCAATCATGACACTACTAACAAATTAGAGATTAATTTTTAGTTGGCCATTAGCTCCTTCAACAAAAGTGCTATTTTAGGACATACAGCTAGGTTTAGTGTGTCTATTTAAATTATTTCCTTAAAAATCAACTGCTACAATTTCAGTTGATATTGAGACACTGAGAGCTTTTCCCTTCATTACAGTGTCCTCAATCTGTGCACAGGTTTTTCCCCCTGAAATTGGTCTCTTTTCACTTGGTGAAAGAAGCATAAGTGCATACACACCTGCACATAGAGCAAGCACAAAAGAACACAGTCTGATGAAACAGAGAGAAACAACCCATCCACTGCATCTAACCTTTAAAAAAAAAGATCCCTGTAACAAAGTGGCAGCTATTGCAATTTTGTGCAATTGCTCAACTTGAGCAAAAATTATTCTTGTAGATCCATGAACTCTCATCAACAGTTTCAGAACATTTCTTGCTATCTCAGTCTAAGTGTTTACTGTTTCCAGTTCTTTCTCACAAGAAAAAGGCAAGTAAAGACTGAAATATCTAACGTATACATACACACATGTACTGTATTTTGAACACTTGCTTCCTGGACCACACTATTTGTTTGATGAACAAATTGTTTTACACCATTTTGGATCCAGACTTTGTACTTTTCACTTGTACGGGCATCTGTTTGCTAGTATATATGCCCAACTTTGGCATGCTGTGCTCTGAATAAGCAACACCATACGTAAGAGATTTTGCTTTTTTTTTTAACAAATGCAGGTGATAAAATAATAATAAGAAAGACAAATAAACGGCTAAAGGCCAGTGTAAAGCAAATTACATAATCTTTGGCAGTGAATCGTTGCAAGTTACAAAGTCATTGTAGACATTAACTTGTGTATAGAATCATGAAGCTCAACACACAACAAATAATGTCAACATGAACTTCATAATTTCAGCAATTTACGCCTAAAGTTATGACATTTGAATTTTGCCAGCAATATGATTTTGGCCAAATAATATAGTCTTCAGCACCCTTTTCTCTCTTCCTGACTTGGAAGAAAAATGTACATGCACAGCAAGCACAGAAAGACACAAAGAACCCATCTTGTGCTTCTGAGTCCATGAAATCAGCCCTCACAAGTTCTTTGCAATTATGCAATTTGTGCTTCAAAAAATCATTCCCACTAATATGTAAAGTCTCGCTGAAAATACCATTTATAACAACTTATTTCCCCCCCCCCCCAAAAAAAAAAATCAGTTTTGCAAAAGTTATTTCCAAGTCCAACAGGGGAAAAAAAATCTCATGTTCTCTTGACAATGAGAAAATGTTTACAATTTATCATGTGAGGAAACGCTAAGCCACCATTTGATATCCCTACAGTTATTAAGGCATTTTAGCAATTATGCAATTTGTGCTTCAAAAAATCATTCCCACTAATATGTAAAGTCTCGCTGAAAATACCATTTATAACAACTTATTCCCCCCAAAAAAAATCAGTTTTGCAAAAAGTTATTTCCAAGTCCAACAGGGAAAAAAAATTATCATGTTCTCTTGACAATGAGGAAATGTTTACAATTTATCATGTGAGAAAACACTAAGCCACCATTTGATATCCCTACAGTTATTAAGGCATTTTAGGATCAGAGAGAGCTTGAGGGGGGGAAAATGGAAATAAATATAGAAAATCATATTCAGGGAAGAAGGAATGACAGCCACCTCTGCTGTCATTTCTGTTGCTCTGGTCCATGCAGAGGATGAAGAAAAAAACATCTCATGAACCATCTTGGGTTTCATGATTGGAAGCAATGAGGGCTATAAACAAAATGAAGTAAAACAAAAATGAGAAAGGATGTGCAATTGAGCTGATTGTTTTCTAGGCCAGTGGTTCTTAACCTTGGGTGACTCAGGTGTTTTTGAACTGCAACTCCCAGAAACCTCAGCCAGCAGATCTGATGGTGAAGGCTTCTGGGAGATGCAGTCCAAAAACATCTGGGTAACAAAGGTTAAGAACCAGTGTTCTACACCAGTGGTTCTTAACCTTGGTTTACTCAGGTGTTTTTGAACTGTAACTCCCAGAAACCCCAGCCAGCAGAGCTGGTGGTGAAGGCTTCTGGGAGTTGCAGTCCAAAAACACCTGAATAACCCAAGTTTAAGAACCGCTGTTCTAGACCAACATTTGGATTTTACCACATGTATGTGTGTGTAAATGAAATATCTGATGAGACGTAAGCCTTTCTTTGAAGCATTGCCACATCCTCAACACACTCTACTACAAGGCCAGATTACTGCAATTTACCATACCCTGGGATTGTTTTGAGGGAATAGAGGCAGCCATTTTGATGCGGCGAAATTAGTAGAATTTGGATAGCTCAGTAGTTTAGGTCTTTGACTACAGAGTAGGAGATTCGGGGTTTGATTCCCACCCACCTCCGTGAGGAGAACCAGCCTATGTGGCCTTGAGCAAGCTGCTTAGTCCTAGAAGAAGGGAATGGGAATCCACTTCTGAGTATTCTCTTTCTGGAAAATCCTGGGAAAAAAACCTCACCATAAGTCAGAAGTGACTTGATGGCATACAATTATTATTGATTAATATTGTATTCCCTTTTTTTATTGTTGTGTCCCTTTTTATGAAGTTATCTATTTGCCTGATTCATTCCACACACTCTCTTATGGCACTTCGGTTTCCACCACTAGACTCAATAAACATCTCAATATTATGTAAGCTCACCTACCCCTGTCTTGTCACTGTGGCATTTCAAGACAATCCCACAGTTGGGTCATTCTGGTAAACAGAGATGTGGGTGAAGAAGGTTCTGGACCACTTTGCCACCTCAAAATGGTTGGATCCACTGGTTCAAGGTATCTGTGAAGGTACCTTAATCCTCACCCATGTTTTGAAGCATGGAGAAGGATAGTAGAGCTTCCTCATGAAGCCAACATGGAGGGGAGAGGGTTGATGCTCAGTAATAACCATATCAAAAATGGCTGAGAGAATTATGGGAGGAACCTGCCAGGGTGAGGGTTTAAGACACCAAATGAATGACCTTGTATTATCAAACGAAGCACAGCCCCAATCTAAGAAAGGGGAAATCACAGGGACCAATTACCTTCAGTTCCGCTGGCATATTGACAGGTTTCTCCCAGCATGGGATACGAAGCGTAGTTGATTGAGATGGACTGCAGGTTGAAGGCCGAATTCTTAAAGATCTTGGTCGGTTGCGTCAACTCATCCAAGGCCTTGTCACGAATGGGCTGCGTTCTCACAATACTGCCCAGTGGCCTCCCATCACTGCATTGTCCTCCAGCCCCAGAGAGCCTTCCCTTAAGCACCAAGCAGTCCGGGCTCTCTGTCCTTTGAGCAGGATTGCAGCTGGGCCCCACAATGACATTGGCCCCTGCCGTATGAGCTAAAGACCAGATCCTGGGCTTCTCTGGGGCTTCGTAGCCTTGCCCTTGAGTTCCAAGACTGCTCACTATGGCCGACCCCTTGGGGCTCAGAAAGTCCCCTGAGACTGCCAAATCCCCCTTGGCACAGGAGAAAGTCTGGAAGTGGCTGGCAAGGGTGACGCCGCAGTTACTCTTCTGAGACTCAGCCAAAGTATTGCTGCCAACGAGGAGACCTTCTGCATGCAGGCGCTTTGGCTCAGCTTCTGCCTTGATCTCCGGCTCCTCCTCATCCAACTCTTCCATATCGCTCAACCGTAGCTCCTTGTCTTCTTTGCAGCTTTTGAGATCTGCATTTCAGAAAATAATGACCGAAATGGTTGGAACGAGAAGTAAACACATTGCAAAGTGGGCTTATCCGAAGTGACCGAAATGGTTGGAACGAGAAGGTAAGTAAACACATTGCAAAGTGGGCTTATCCAAAACTGGACTTTAAGTTTCTAAGAGTGCTTCAGAATATTAGTAATTGTAGTAATACTAATAGCAGGCAATACTAGCTGCACTGAGGGCAAGGCTAGCAGGAATGCATTTCAATTCAGCTTTTCCCCAAGTGTTAAAAACAGGACACACCTTGATGGTCCCCTTTGATGAAGTGAAGCAGATCTGAGTGCTTTAAGACTGAATAGGTCGGACAGCTCCTTGCTGCCACATTGATTACCCAGCTATTGCCCACCAACCTTCTCCAGACTTACCTTTGTCTTCACTTTCACTGTCACAGTCTTCTCCATTCCTTCTTTCGTCCTCCCTCCTCTCTTCCCCTGCCTTGTTTTTGGGAGACCAGGTCATCTTGTTCTCCTTCTTGAGCCGCCGCCGGGCGTTGGCGAACCAGGTGGAGACTTGAGTGAGGGTCATCTTGGTGATGATGGCCAGCATGATCTTCTCCCCTTTGGTGGGGTAGGGGTTTTTCCGGTGCTCATACAGCCACGTCTTCAAAGTGCTGGTGGTCTCTCGAGTGGCATTCTTGCGTCTGGCTGAGCTGCTGAAGTCCACCGTTCCATACCTGGAGGAAAGAGAACAAGGAGATGAAATGGCAAGACACAGAGCTGAGAATCTGCGTCCCCCCAAGTCCAGCCTCTGTCACTGGGCCTCCTTGACAAGGACTGGACTCAATGATGTAGAGCAGTGGTCCCCAACCTTGGGCCTCCAGATGTTCTTGGACTTCAGCTCCCAGAAATCCTGGCCAGCAGAGGTGGTGGTGAAGGCTTCCGGGAGTTGTAGTCCAAGAACATCTGGAGGCCCAATGTTGGGGACCACTGATGTACAGGGTCCCTTCCAGCTCTGCAATTCTAAGATGATGGTGGTGGTCACATTTGTCAGCTTCAAAGAGCTGCTCACTTTGAAATTTGAGAATGAGATGCTCCTTTTGCCTCTCCAACCATGAACCATCTCTGTTCCTTTGGTATTTTCACCCTGAGAAACTTAGAAATATTTATTGATGTTTATTTGGGCATGGAAAGAACCCGAGAGTCAAGATTCAAATGCAAAAGAAAGCAAGACTGGCAGGTCTCTTTGTCCCTAAATGGACTGCACTGGAGTGAAGATTATAGTTCGATCCTCTACTCTCCCCCCACTAACCTCCTCAGGCCTAATCCATACCAAAACCTTGGAAGACTAAAGGTTATACTGCCAACGAGTGTTGCTTCCATGGGAATTGACTCCAGCCTACTAAGTCCTCTTCTGGGAAGATAATGCTCCTTTCCATTATCAGAGGAAGCTGTTCTGGTCATTGACTGGTTTGGAGAAACACCATCGTTCAGTGGGGAACTCATGTCTTGCATTCCAAAGATCCATGTACCAAATCATGTCTTCACCCATCTTTGTATTATCCACAGAAGAGGAAGGTTCCAGCCATTATCCCTGTGAGCTCCAGGACCAGGAGGGAGAACCTGAGCACCCCAAGGGTGAAAAGCTCTCAAACTTTGGGGTTACAACTCCCATTGTTCTACTCTTGGCCATGTTGGTTGGGGATTCTGGGAGCCAAAGCCCAAGACATAGAGGGGACCCAAATATTCACCCTTTTGTGGACATGGGTGCAGACAGGACTGAGAAAGCTCTAATTTGATACAGTACTAGACAGCTGCTTACTTGAGAAGGATTCCTCATTATCATAAGCAACCCATTTTAACGTCTTTGGCATAGAATTCCCAAAAAGGGCAACAGCAGTCTTGTCATGTGGATCACCACGGTTTGTTGGTCTAAAACTGCAGGGCAAGAGAAGACCGTAAACTTCTAGATGTCATGAGAGTACAGATCCCATTGCCTCTGACCATGGCAAGGCTGATGGGAACCGCAGTCCAACACCACTCAACTCAACTCCCTCTGTTAACAAATCTGCACTAAAACCCAGAATTGAGCTCTTTCTTTCTCCATCTCTGGTGCATACTAGCATTTAAACTGATTTATGGCCTGTGTACTGGTACGGATATCATTTTCCCATGCTCTTCTAAATTATTTCATTGTGTGCAACAGCTGATTGGATAGCGAGGCCAAGAAATAGACAGGTGGCCCAAGTGGAGGAATCTATCAACTGGGATGAACAGGATTTTCTCCAGCCACCTTTCTGGGGACTAGCAGCCCGTCCATGTACATCAAAACCCTCCATCTGTGAATCCTACTTTACTCACAAATCTTCTTACTCAAAGTGGGGAGCAATGACTGTCCCCTTAATAGCAGACCAGATCTGACCCCCGCCTGCTTTCTCAGGTGCCCTTCCTGGGGTCCTCGGACTCTTAGATCAAGGCACCAAGTATTGCACCCTTACTCAGGCTCCTTCTCTCTCCTGTTGGACTGATTTAGACCAGATCTCCCCTCCAGATCCAGGACGAATCTGGCCAGATCTACAGGTCAGATGAGGGCCGGTACAGGATGGATTGGGGGAAAGGGACGTGTAGATATGAACTCCCTCCCACAACTTCCGCACTGTCACTCTCCTGTTTACTCAGAAGTCTAATTCTCCTTTTGGGTCCGTGTGTTCATGTTTTCCCTCTCCAAGCCTGCCAAGGATTTTTTTTTACTCTTGTTAGTTTGGGAGTTGGAGTGCCCGAGTTTGATGGAGGCGACACAGACACGTGTCAGCTGGTAGGGCGGGAGGACATGCCAGAGAGATTCAAAGCTCCGGATCAAAGCGCGCCTTACCTGTCGTACTGGTACTGCCCAAAAGAGTGCTCGTAGGTGTAATAGGCGGTGGCGGCCGCGGGCTGCGGAATTCCCGCGTGGAGCGCGGAGGAGCCGTCTTTCAAATCGTATTGAGAGTTCTAGGAAACGAATTAACAGAAGCTCTTTAAGATGCAGGAAGGGGAGAACTCGCCGTCTATCCTCTCTCCCGGTTCCCACCTGTTCCTTCCTGTTCCCCAACCGCACCGATTTGGCCAAGAGAGCCGTTGGTTTACTCCGGAGTCTGTAATCCGGATGAGCCACCGCTCCGACTCCGAAGTATAGCGCAGAGCGCACGGAGGCTTCCTGGGGAGTAGATACGCGCCCTGGTCGCCCACAAACTTGGCTGGTGGACCACTGGAGGGGGGTTGCCTTTTATGGGGAACTCCGCACCCCCTTCATACATGGCTAAGATGGAAAATTTGCAGGTCGGGGCAGAATCCTAAGCAAACTTACTAGGGAGAAAGCCCTATTGGGGAGGAGGCGAGGGGGGAAGGATATAGGATAGCATTATTAAAACCGTAGGGTAGTATTCTATGGTGAGTCCCAAGTAAAGTAGACCCATTGACTCGGGGATATGCCCTGATGTTGCCTTACCATTCACCCATCCATCTGGGGGGTCTATTTTCAAGACTAGGAGATTCTAAGGGACTAACAATAGGGATGCTGGTCATGAGGACCTTATATGGCCATGGCCCTGCTTGTCATCTCGCCTCCAACCCACTGATGTCTAATTACAGCCCCTACAATGTGGATCGGGTGTTAGGATCTGGGAATGAATACGAATAGAAAGTCGGGAAGGGATGCGTCCCGGCTCCCCATGTATAAATAATAAAAGTTCGGTTTTAACCACCACAGACCTTGAACTTGAATTACCACAAGGAAATGAGCCATCAAGGACGATGTTGACCTTTAAAGGGCGGGGAACTTTCTTCCTCTCTCCCCCCCCCCATATGTGCTGTCAAGACGGAACCAACCCGCAGCCACCTATTAGAGTTTCCAAGGTAAGTGAGAACTTAATTGGCTTTACCAGTTCTTATCGTTGGGTGGGGATTCGAACACACGCCTCCCGCGTCTTGGGCCCTACCTCTGTCCACTACACCACACTACTGGTTACCCTCTTTCTCAGGCGCAAGACAACAAACGCTCCTGATCCCAGGGCGGCTTACTTCTGAGTAAGCACGCATAGAAAGGAAGAGATGTTACTACCATATCAACGTTTATTCCTTCCCCTTCCTTCGCCCCCCAAGCCCCAATTGCTGATGAAATGTAGGTTGTCAGCCTCTTCGGGGCAGGGAACTGACACTGCCCTCCCCCCCTTCGTTGTATCTTACTTATTTTTGCTTAGGGTCTCCTGCCGATTAGGAGGAAGAGGGAAGGCGTTGAAAGAGGACCTAATTTAATCTGCAGTTCCGTCCCCTAGATCTAAACCCCATTAAAGTATGTGGATTTTCTCTGGACTGGCCAAGAAATTGACCTTTTTGGGGGGTTGGGGGGTGGCGAAGTCAGAGAAGGTCGCAGAGAAAAAGGCTTGGTGGAATTTTACCCCAATTTCAGCCCTGTTGCATTGATCCCACGCACTTTGCTCCCAAAGTAAATAAAGCTAAATTTGCACCCTGGCAAGGGGATTTTATTGATGCCTATTTATTCAGGAGAAACCTGTCTTTTCCAGTTCCCCAAACAACCCAGCGAAGACTGCCAGCCACTGTTCCTCTGCTCCCGAATCCCACCGGAGCGTTTGTTTCCAATCTTACTCAGAGGGCATGGAACGGAATTTCTCTCTGGAAATCCCAGCGCAGGCCTGCGGTTGTGGACTTATTCCCCCGGGAAAGCAGCTCAGTGGGGTAGAGGTATCCCGCCCTGGATAGGGAGCAAGCCTCGGGAGTCATACCTAGAAGGCTTCTACTTCGGAGTAAAGAGGGAACGCTTGCACACTGCGGGGTAAACTGCATTCCGAGGTATCTACAGTACTTCCTTGCTGGGATCAGAAACGAGGAAAATTCCCTTAAATAGGAAACTTTCGACTCACGCTTTGGTGGGATCTGAAAAAGTCGTCTGTAAGACACTGAAACTCAAGCTAAATTAAATGCATTCACCTTTAGGGTTCAACAAGGCTCTTGGTTCGTTTGGTCTGCCTCCCCTCGACCTTATTTCATTTCATTTGGGAGGACGTTCTATGCGGACAATAGGGGTGGGAGGCCGGGGCGCGCGAGGTAGTCTCAGGCTAGAATGTCTTAGGAGTCCTGGGTTCGAATCCCCCCACTGCTGCGGAAAATCATCAGCGTGGGCCCGATAGTAAATCAGCCCTTAAGCATTTCCCAAAACGTTATTAGGGTCCTCATAATTTGGAAGTGACTCCGACGTACAGAAACAAGCAGGTGTCTGCTTACTTCTGAGTAAACACCCCAACGGTTTGTGTTGACTCCGCCCCCTTCCCTTCCACCTCCCCTCCCCCTCACCTCGCCTGTTGCCCTAAGACGCTCAAGACAACTGGCTCCCAGCCTAACTCAACAGGGACTAGCGCCCCACCTGTTCCCTTTAGGTAACCTTTGGCGGCGGCCGGGACACGTGGCAGCGGAGGGTCTTGGCCACTCACCAGCGTGGTGTAGAGGGTCGAGGGGTCCGCGCTGTAAGGGAGGTAGTTGGCGTAACTTTGGCCGGCCGCGGCGGCGTAGGGCGAGCCGTACATGCCCAGCGCCGCATTGAGATCCGTCCGGGAGCTGGCCAGCAGGCGGTTTTCGTAAGACGGGCAGCAGAGGGGGGCCGTTTGAGACGATCCTGTAGAAACATCGGACACGGATCGCGATCCGGAGTCGCAACAAGTGGTGCTGGAGGTGGCCGAGACGAAGAACTGCGATTTAAAAAAAGGGAAAGAGAGAGAGAGAGATGAAGAAATGTCAGAATAAAAAGCGCCGAGGAGAGTTGGTTCATTGGCAAGGCGTGGGGATAAGAGGAGACCCCGTGGATCTCCTGAGGATGGAAGACCTATAGAAATCAATGGAGCTTGTCTCAAAGATAAATAAGGCCAGTCGAAGCAGGCTGGAAATGGGCAGCAACAAGAAACAGGGAGAGAAGGAGAGGATGATGGCGGGAAACTACCAAACATGGCTCAAAACAAACGCACCCAAATCACCCTGGAGTTCCGGATCTAAGTGAGTCGATCAGTCTAAGGAAGAGAGAGAGAGAGAAAGGGGTGATGCCCGGGAACCCACACACCATCTTGGCCAACCGGATGCGTTTTAGTTTTTAAAAAGGCACCCCCCCCAATTGACGGAGAGAGAAGGTGGGCGCCTGGCAGCGCACAGGTGTGCTGGGGGACCCTCCTGCTTTATCCAAGAGGATGGGGCGGGTGGGAATCAGGCAGAAGGCGATTAAAGTACAAAAGCTTTCTTTAAAAAATAAAATAAAAGGGAAACATAAGCAGGAGAAATGAGCTGGGATAAAAGGAGGAAGAGAAGAGTAACTGGGCAGCTATGATCTCAGGTGTGTACCGGATTCCAGTAGGAAATTAATAAATGATGGATCAAGTTTTTAACAGTCACGGTGGGAGAAAATCTAAGTCTTAAGTAAAGTAGACCCGGTGGCATCGATGGGAACTTCCCAGCAGCCTTGACAAACAAGCCCCATTCATTTCAGTTTCAGCCCCTGCTCTGGCTGGGGCTGAAACTGGATTAAACGCCAACAATTTCCCTACATTGACATTATACTTCACTGTACGATATAGTAAATATTGGCTGGTTTTTTGCGTTTTTTTTAACTAAGCTTCCATTAACTCTCTTCCCGTTGCGCGCACACACGTGGAGAAGAAATCAATAAAGGGGATGAATCCGACCGAAATGGGTTTAGTCCTGAACACTACATCCGGAATAAAGGCACAGCCTGAAAAGTACATCCGATTTGGAAAGCTGAAAAAAATGTGCAGGCAAAAGTTAAGTCCCTTTTTCAACTGGGGCTTACTCCAAAGGAAAGCTAGAGGGAGAACTTAACATCAAATCGCAGTAATTAAGCAAATACTGTAGTTGCACGGAAAATCGACCATTCAAGTCGAATCGCGTCAAACGCCTGGGTTTTGATCTTTACTAGTGAAAGGTAAACTTCATTTCCAAGTTACTTTTAATCAATCAAATATCCTAGGGCCGGACTGGCCGGGGGCGGAGGCCAATGACTCCAAAAGTTATGGACCCAGAGGGGGCTATTCCCAAGCACCCCACCCCCTAACCTCAACTTCGGCCACCTTCAAACCTCCCCCCCCCCCCAACGACAACAACGAAGTCGCCTTTCCTTAAAAAATCAATAAGAAGTTTACCGGGAGGGGGAAAAAATCGAAGATCCAAGATCGCGTTCCCACGTAACGATCCCTAACTCGCGTTCCGGCGAATCCGAACCCAGAGCGAGGCGAGGAGGTCTACCGGCGCTGGTTTCGGAGTGAACGCGGGGAGGATCGGGGATGGGCGTTCATCCGAGTCGACCCTTGCCCCCCCCTCCACGCGCAAAGTTACGCGCCCTTCATTCAAACACCGGCAAGAAACATCAAGAGCGCAGAGATCAAAGCGAGCAGAGAAAGGAGAGGCGAAGGCAAGCCGGCATCATATATATATATATTTAAAAAATGCTCTCCAACTAAATCAAAACGGAGGAAGGCGGTTGGTTGCATTTTTAAAACTCTTTTTTAAGAAAAGAAGGCAGGTCATACCTGGTAATGCAACGACACGCCAAGGGGAAAATAGCCACCCCCCTCCCATATCTATATATCTATCTATATATATTGATGGACGTTGATCCTTACCTGAGAGGACGCGCTGTAAGGATAGCCGAGCTGAGAGAAAGACATCGCGGTTTGCCAGTGGTTTGTTTTGTTTTGGAGGCGTGTGCGTATGGTTTGAAGGTTTGTTTGGGTCTGGAGGTGTT